GGAGATCCAGTGCATAGGAGCAGAGGGGTGACGATGGACAGGAGGAAATCACAATTTGGTGAGTGAAGGGAGGGAATACAAAGGAAATAGGAAAGATCTGGTGGGGATCTGGAAAGACAGGGTAATGGTGGGCATAGTTCAATGGTGATTAATTTTATAAAATATAATGGATGGTAATGATTGTATGAAACACAATGTGAATGAAGAATAATCTGAAATACAATGCATACAAACTTTGTATTCAAGTCAATATAGGTTTAAAATTATGTAAAAAAGGAACCACCTGACAGTCAAAATTATTTCTGACTATTGTCCACTATTATCAACAGATAAACCCACCACCATTATGTTGATTCCAACTCAGAGCAACACTGCATTACATGGCTGAGTCAAAGGCTCTATTTGCTAAGTGAAAGCAAGTCAATCAGAAAGGGCAAGCATGGTGTGAATCCACTCTTGGGGAGGCTCTGGTGGCCTAGTAGGTAAGAGTTGAGCTACGACCTAAAAGTTTGGTCCACCAGTTGCTCCCATGAGATACCCAGGCTCCGAAAACCTGCAGGTGGGTCAGCTCTAGTCGGTCCCAATGTGACAGAAATGAGATGAGCTGAGGGGCATAGCCTGTAGGGAGTTGTACTGCTAACTCAAGATAGTGTCTCCTTGGCAGTTTGAACCTAAAAGTAGCCACAAGGAAAACAGATGGGCTGACTTCTCTTGTGTAATTTACAGACTCAGAAATCTAATGGGGGGTCAGTTCTGAGTCAATTAGAACTCAAAGGCAGTGAGTTTGAGACTCTTTTTGTGTATTTGTTTGTTAGTTGGTATAGTCTGGAGCAAGTTACACTGATAACCAAAAAAGTCTTCAAGTAGCTCCTGCAGATCAATCCACCAGCAGCTCCAAAGGAGAAAGATGGGGCATTCTCCTTATCACAGCCTCAGAAACTTGATATAGGGTCACTATGAGTACACATAGGAAGAAGTAAGGACAGAATTCTGCTTTGTAAGACCTTCTCCTCTGAAAGGACATGGCTAAGACCCAGCCATTTCAGCTTCTGTACTGACAACCCCTGACTGCTTTAAAATCCTAATACTAGTTGTTGGTACATGCCCTCAGCTCATTGTGACCCCGTGGACAGTAACAGGACAAAATCCTGCCTGAGCCTGCGTCACCCTCTCAACCTCTGTTGTGATTGAGCCCGTAGTTTCAGTTACATGATCGAAGCATAGTCTCCTTTTCAAAGATGTTATCCTCCTGGCAACATGCCCAAAGTATGTGAGATGAAGTTTCACAATCCCGGCTTTGAAGAAGCAACTTTTCTGAATATCTTCCAGTTTTGCTTAGTCTTCTGGCCATCTATGGTGCACTCAATATTATTTTCCAACAACACATTGCATTGGGGAAATCTGCTGTCAAGGACCACTTTAAAGTGCTTGAGAGCAAGGATGCCACTTTAAAGACTAACGTGCACCTAATTCAAGTCTTAGTCTTTTCCATTCATAAGCATATGAAAGTTGAACAACGAATAAGGAAGGCTCCTCTACCAGAACAAGCTCTTATCTTTGTCATTTCCTGTTCTGAAAGAGCTTCTTGCTCAAAAGCCCTGCTGGCTCTAACTGACTCATGAATTATATTTTCTTTTGGACACTGATAAAAGGTAAGGCTGTATGGCACCTCCCCGGAAGCCCAGTGATTGTGCTCAGCTGCCAGCACAAAGGGAGGTACTTCAAACGCCCCAGCTGATCTTTGGATTGAAGATGAAACCCTCTGTTTCTGTAAAGATTACAGTCTTAGAAACCCTATGGGGTAGTTCTACTCTGTCCTATGAAATAGAATCAAGTCAAGGGCATGCTACACCAGTAAGATTTGAGGTATATCCCCAGACTGACATAGGTAAAGGACAAGATCACTGATAGAGGTCAACAGACTGAGGCTGAGGTGGTGCTAGTTTCATGAGCGAGATGTGACCTGGTCAGCAAGGCACTGGGACTTCAAAGAACAAGGGTGAGTCATGGGGTGGAGTTAGGTGATTTTAGATTCAAAGTTGAACCTCTGAAGATGCTTGAAGGAGCAAGGTAGGTAGCAGTTATGCTTCCCCCTCCAATCTCCTGTTGCTTTGTGAAAACACTGCAGTGGGAACAGTTCAAGGACAAAGAAGAAACCTTGAGAGGAGAGGGTGAGGATTTAAATTTTCCAGCTGGGGAGGCTGGAGGCGATGTGTCTTGGTTTCAGGTCAGAGCAGGAGCGCTGGGCATACTAAGGGGGTGGAACTGGCAGCTTGGTGGGATCTGGAGACTGCAGCTCTGAGTGTCCAAATCCAGCCTTCTCACCAGTCAGCGGGTAAAATAAGCTCTTATGGATGGGACCCAGATAAAAGAAAATGATTGACAATTTTAATCTTTTCTGCATCTATCATGATGTTTCCTATTAACCCGGCAGTAAGGATTTTTGTTTTCTTGATGTCGAAATGTAATCCTTATTGAAGGCTATTGTAAGAGCTTCTGCAGGAAGCGCTTCAAGTCTTCTGCACTCTAAAAACAAAGTATGTCATCTGTATAAAGCAGGTTGTTGATATGTCTTCTTCCAATACTGATGACACATTCTTCTTCATGCAGTTCAACTTCTTAATTGCTCAACATACACAGATTAAATAGGTATGGGAAAATTATACAACCTGACACACATTTTTCTGATTTTAAACCATGACGTAGTATTTATTTAACTTGGATTCACAGTCAACATCTATGATAGTAGCAGTCAAGATGTCAAAAGATGTGTTACACTGGGGAAATCTGCTGTCAAAAACCTCTCCAAAGTGCTAAAGAGCAATGATGTCAGTTCAAAGATAAAGGTGAGACTGATCTAAGCCATGGTCTTTTCAATCACATTCTATGCATCTGAAAGTTGGACAAGAAGAAGAAATACCTTTGACATGTGAAGTTGGTGAAGAGTATATGTAGTCGACTTTATAGCATCTAACATTTTGGAGAAGGGTGCTGAGTATCTCGTGGACTGCCAAAAGAACAATTAGATACATTTTGAAGAAGGTACAGTCTGAGTGCTCCTTGAAGGCAAAGATGATACAGCTTTGTCCCACATACTTTGAGCATGTTGCTAAGTGAGTCCATTCCTTGGGAAAGGACATCACACTTGGAAAGATGGAGGGATGGCAAAGGAGAAGTCCCTCATCAGGCAAATTAACATAGTGACTGCTACAATAGGCTGTGTCAGAGATTGTGAGGATGGCACAGGACAGGGCAGGGTTTGGATCTGTTGTTCATAGAGTTGCTGTGAATCATACTTGACTCAATGGTACCTCAACAACTATAAAGACATAAGGATTACCTGAGCAGCACAGGGCTGACAAGTCCCAAGCACGCAACAAACATATTGTGACTGTAACCAAATTGAACTGAAAAAAACCAAACTGAAAAAGTCAGTTTTAGTAATTTCCCAAAGTTTTTCGAAAATATTTCATGCAAGAGATTAGCTTACTTTATGTGTGTGTGTGTGTGTGTGTGTGTTCACCTTATTTTTAACTTTAATCCTTTAAAAGTTAAGTTTAAAATAAAAAAAGCCACTGCTTTAAATCAATTCTACTCTTGGAGACCCTCCATTGAGTTGCCAAGTTTGTAAATCTATGGGCAGATACTGCCCAACTTCTCCAGGGATCCTTTAAAGAAGACCGTTGTTAAGTACCCTTGAGTCGTAACCGACCCATAATTGGCTCTCCAGCGGGTTTTTAGAGGCAATATCTTTCTCCCTTGGAGCAGCTGATGGATTCGAGCCCCTTGCCTTCAGTATTGCAGCGCAGCTTCTTACCAGTAGGCCACGGGAGCTCCTTAAAGAGTTCTTAAGTGCCGTGGAGTCATAGATGACTCATTGCGACCCTATGAACAAAAGACCTAAACACTTGTATAACCTTCATCTTTTGTCCACAGTTCATAGAGTTTCCGGACAAGCTATTCCAGACGTGAATGCCACTCCTGCTTCCAAAAAGAGGAGTCAAGGATGGTCAAATTAAGACTTTTCTATTGTAAGGGACAATTTGGCTCAACAACTCCCCAAGTCCTGTGAGTTTACATATGAGAACAGGGCGCTGGGGACCACCCGGGGTGTCTGGGCTTCGGTGTCAGCTGCAGTGACAGAATTAGAACCAGGCACCAGGCGGTGTCTAGACCAGGGGCAGACTCCTCGCCAGCCCTTTAGTGTGAAGGTTTCCCAGCGACATGCAGCCGCCCCTCAAGGACCCCAGCCCTTCCTTCTCTTTACTTCCCGATGGACAGAAACGCCTGCACTTGGCAGGTGAGAAATCGCTCCCTGAAGTTAGGGCCCCTTCGGGGGCCCTAAATCCGAGACCACAGAGAGCAGAGCCGGCGGGCGGGGCTGGTGCTGGGGCGGGGCCAGCGCTCCCCAGAGCCCGACCCTCAAGATGCTGCGCTCGCGCCCGGCTCAGCAGGATAGTCCAGCGCCGCCTGCGCTCCGCGGGGAAGCTCCGTCGGGAAGCCCGCGCCGCAGACTCGGCCAGGGCCGCTCGCGCTCCGTGGGGAAGCTCCGTCGGGAAGCCCAGGACGCAGACTCGGCCAGGGCCGCCTGCGCTCGGTGGGGAAGCCCGCGCCGCAGCATTCGGCTGGAGCGGCGAGATTCCTTTGCGGACCACCAGGATTCCACCCGGACAGCCGCGCAGCCGGACTCGGCCGGTGTTGCCCGTGTTCCTCGGGGAAGCCCGCGCCACAGGATTCCACTGGGGCAGCAGGATTCCGCGCGGACCACCAGAAGTCCACGCGGACAGCCACGCCACAGGACTCGGCCAGTGCCGCCCGCGCTCCGTGGGGAAGCCCGCGCCGCAGGATTCGGCTGGTGCGGCGGGACTCAGCGGGACCCTCGAGCTGCCGAGCTCTTACAAGCGCTGTTTCGCATGAGCAGAGCCGGCAGCACTTAGCCAGCAGGGCTCCCTAGTTGCTGGGTCCCAGGCGGCCAGAGCTCAGGCCCCGCGCGGTTCGCCATGGGCGGCCCCTGGAACAGCAGCGACGGCCCCGAGGGCGCGCGGGAGCCGCCCGGCCCGGGGATGCATCCGTGCGACGAGCGCCGCTGCTCCTTCTTCCCTCTGGGGGCGCTGGTGCCGGTGACGGCTGCGTGCCTGAGTCTGTTCGTCGTCGGGGTGAGCGGCAACTTGGTGACGGTGCTGCTGATCTGGCGCTACCGCGACATGCGGACCACCACCAACCTGTACCTGGGCAGCATGGCCGTGTCCGACCTGCTCATCCTGCTCGGCCTCCCCTTCGACCTGTACCGCCTGTGGCGCTCGCGCCCCTGGGTCTTCGGGCCGCTGCTCTGCCGCCTGTCGCTCTACGTGGGCGAGGGGTGCACGTACGCCACGCTGCTGCACATGACGGCGCTCAGCATCGAGCGCTACCTGGCCATCTGCCGGCCGCTCCGCGCGCGCGTCCTCATCACCCGGCGCCGGGTCCGCACGCTCATTGGCGCGCTCTGGGCGGTGGCGCTGCTCTCGGCGGGGCCCTTCCTCTTCCTGATGGGCGTCGAGCAGGACTCTAGCATCCACCTGCTCTCCCACCCGAATGAGAGCGCGCAGATCACGCCCTCGTCCTCCACCTCGCAGGCGCCGCCTCTGTCCCGACCGTCGGGGCTCGAAGCTGCAGCCGCGGCGGCGCTATTCAGCCGGGAGTGCCGGCCGAGAGCTGGACGGCTGGGCGCGCTGCGCGTCATGCTGTGGGTCACCACTGCCTACTTCTTCCTGCCCTTCCTGTGCCTCAGTGTCCTCTACGGGCTCATCGGGCGGGAGCTGTGGAGGAACCGGGGGCCGCTGCCAAGTCCAGCTGCCTCGGGGCGGGAGAAAGGCCATCGGCAGACCATCCGCATCCTGCGTAAGTGGGGGGCCTCTGTCCCACGCACACCCAGCCCTCAGCGGTCCCCAACTCCAGACCACCCAGTCTATTTCCATTTCCTTTGTGCATCTCCAGAGAAAACTATCTCCTTGGGCTCCCCTGAGGGTGGACTCTTCGGGTTTTGGAAAATAAAAATACCATCATTTTCCAAAAGCTTTTGTATCAGTGAGCTGGGCTGACCCAGGACAGGTCACTGGAGGGTCTCGCTCCAAGTCTGTCCCTGTTAAATGCTCTCAGTACCTGTGAGAAGTCGGGGAGCAGAGTACATTAAGCTGGCATTTTTACTTCATGCTCATTATCTTGAAGGGTAAAGTGAACCATACCCATGTCCAAAAGCAAAAAGGTATGTAGACTTGATGCTGAATGCTTTTCCAGAAAAGAGACCAGTCTTGAGCGAGTTACCCAGGGAAGCTGCCAGAACAGCTTGTTTGTGCAAGTTTCCTTCTGCTCTTTCTGGTTTGTATTCAGCACTGAGAACAAGTAAATGTGACTACAGAGCTGTTGAAAGCAATTATCGCTGCGGTAGCTTTGCCGGGAGACTTAGCTCAGTAACTGGCTTGGTTAGCGGCTCCTTTAAATGGCTTCCGGGGCCCTGATTTTACTTTCCCATGCTTAATGGTGGCTTGGTGATAAGGAGCTGTGCGACTCAACCTATAGGTATGTGGTTCAAATCCACCAGCTGCAAAGAAGGAGAAAGATAGGCAATCTCCTCAGATGTCAGAAAACCTGCTGGAGGGTCAGCTGTGAGTTCCAAATCGATGGTGCATTAACAACAACAAGGCATTTGCTAACTCAGTGCCTGTGTCTTGCTTTTGCAGTGGTGGTGGTCCTGGCGTTTGTGGTTTGTTGGCTGCCCTTCCACGTGGGCAGAATCGTTTATGTAAACTCAGAAGACACCCGGATGGTGTACTTCTCTCAGTACTTCAACATAGTGGCTTTGCAGCTTTTCTATCTGAGTGCCTCCATCAACCCGATCCTCTACAACCTCATCTCAAAGAAGTACAGAGCCGCAGCTTACAGACTTCTGCTGTCCCGACAGTCCAGGCAGAAGGGTGTCCGTGGAAGCAAGGACAGTGGAGGGGACACTGGAGGAGACACGCCTGGCCACACGGAGTCCAGTGCCAATGTAAGGGCACCAGGGTAACCAGCCCAGCCCCACGGGTCACCACGTCCAAGTCCAGAAACAGCAGTTCTGTGGAGAAGCAATACTGAGAGGAGGTGCTGATGCCTCCTAAGACTCGGAAGGGTAGTTAAAAAAATGTGTTGAGAGAATTAGAAAATTGTCAGCAGATTTTTTTAACCAAGGTGTGACTGTAACAGTACCTGTCTCTCTGTTCTCTTTTTGTGTAGTGCTAAGGGATGTGCATTTGAGCATCCAGCCTGGGTGAGACTCGCAGCACAGAGTGTGCTCTGGGGAGTGTTTTACAGCTGCTTTTTCCACATCTTTGGAAATGTGCTGTGATTGCTCGCTTTTCTGGGAGGAAGTGATATAGAGAGCTGCAGCCATCAAATTGTGAGGTCGGGTGTATTCTGGGTTTTGTCCAAGGTGTAAATATGTGGCTACATATACAAACAACTCAGTATAATGAGGATTTGAATCCAAGAAATAATTTAATGACTATATATGGCTGTGATGACAGTTAGAAGCAAGTGGAAGGGATTCTGGGCAGATGCTGGGCTCAGAACAAATCCATAGAGATGCTGTGCCAACCCCTCTTCCAAAACTGTTTGTATAAACATATGTGTTGCAACCCACTTCTTCCTGATCCTGCTGGAACTTTGCTGGGGCCACTGGGTGGCCAGGACATAGCAAACCTTGGAACTGAAGCTGGCAGTGAGGAAGTCCCTTGCATCTTGTCCTCTCAAGTGATTATAATGACACTTGCAGCAAGCTTTTAACATCTCTCATCAGACTTTGACTTGTTGGAGGATGTTTTGTCATCATTTCTGTCTTCCTAGTGATGGACCAGAACCTCTAATCCACTGAGTTCTGGCATACCATAGCTGGTGAGTCTCAGCCGAAAATCCAGGCTTTGATTCAAGGTCCGTATACCCATGTCCCCCTTCCCAAATCAACACTGCTCTTAGTAGACAACACAAGCATCCATGGATGTTGTTGTTGTGGACCGTTAAGTTGAAACTGACCCATAGCTGACCCTCTGGCAGGTTTTCAGAGGCAATTTAATTGCATGGGAAGAGATTACACATCTTACTATGGAACAACTGGTGGATTTGAAACACATGCCTTCAGGATCGCAGCACAGCTTCTCACCACTGGGCCACCAGAGCTCCCCTCCCAGCACTAAAAGTACATGTGGGGCGCAGCAGTTCTCTTGTTATTTTATTACAATTTGAAACATAGATGCTATGCAGAAGACTGCATCTGTGCCCACTGCTGCAAAGGGCCTCAGTGTGCAAGAGTGGTGCCCCCCGCAGGTGGCCTCTGGTATTCAGGTAAATAAAGTTCAAAACTAAATGGCAGTAGATTGTTGATGTTTATGAAGACTTGGGCCTGAGCTTCTTATAACTCTCAAAAATCTGCAGAGAACATTACAATGTAACCAGAAAAAGGGTGAAAAATTGTTGTCACATCAATTTCAGGTCATAACCACCTTGGGTACACAGAATGAAACGGCAGTCCATAGGATTTTCAAACCTGTGGTCTTTCCTCCTGAGGCATCTCTGGGTGGATTCTGGTTAGTTGATTGGACACGTAAGCATTAGCACCACCAAGGGACTCCTAGTCCAGCGTACCAACCAGGCCAGTTGTCAGTAAGTCAGTGCCGGCTCATGATAATGCAGGTACATGGAGAAGAAATTCAGAGTCTTCAAGATTGTGACCTTTCAGAAGCAGATTGCCAGACTTCCATGTAGTGTGGCGTCTCTCTTGCCCCATCTCTGCTTTGCTCACTTCCTAAATCTCTCATGTTTCAAGAAGAGATTGACTCAGAATATATTCATCCTGCCTCATTAATAGAACAAAGACAAATCATGCCCCAACTGGCTTATAAACACAAGCACAGAAGTCAGAATTTACAATGTATTTTGGAGAGACTTAATTCAATCCATAACATTCCATTTGGTTACAAAAACTCATTTTTTGCCACATGCAAAATACATTCACTCTATACCATCATCCCATAAGTCTTAAATTAATTCTAAGTATCATCCCAGGATAAAATTTATCTTCATCTGTGGACTTCTGAAATCTAGAATACAGGTTGTCTGCTTCAAAAGTACAATATTGTAACAGGCACAAGGTAGGTGTTAAAAATGGATGACATTGGAGGCAAAGAAGAGACAGGGGTACCAAGAAAGTCCAAAACGCATCTGACCAACTTGAATTAGTTGTCAAAGAGTTGGAAATGATACTTTGTTCTCTGAGAACATCTGGACAACGTTCTCACCCTCCAAGCCTGCGCTGTTGGCCACAATCCCTAGATTCTGGGTGAAGACTCCTTAACCCAGGGCTTCAGCTCCACTTTCCAGTCCCATTGGGACAGAGACTCTGCTCCCTTGGCATCAGTGACCCCATTCTCTTAGTCCAGCTGAGTGGCAGGCCCCATTTTTCTGCCTGTTGGGCCAGCCCCATACTTCAGAACCGAATCAGTAAAGATTTGTCTCTACGAAGCCTGAAGGGCCATGGCCAAATCTTTGGGGATCCAGGATACTGTAGCCCTACCCTTTGAAACCCAGAAGACCCTGCTTCTGAGCTCTCCTTCTAACTATTCTATTTCTTTCAGAACTTCCAAGGAATAGACCTTTTCCTTTCTTGGGAGGCAATACATGTCATTCCTTTGACCTATTTCCTAACTGTAGTATTCTAAGAGGCAGCTCAGGTGGCCAAATGGTAACGAGTTGCACTACCAACCCAAAGACATATGGTTCAAGTCCACCAGCTGCTCCACTGGAGGTTAAGCTCAGCCTTGGTTCCAACTCAAAACCACATAACAACAACAGTATTCCAAGCAGCTGGCTTTCTATCATCCTGTCTCTGTCCCCTTCAGTCGATAGGTTTTCTGCCATGGTAATTGGTTAGTTGTCTCAGCCACAGGCTCACTCTCTTTAACACAAGATATTTGTAGCCATGTCCTTGGTAAACACTCTAGGATGTGTATCCTTGGTTTATTGTTGTTGTTGTTGTTATGTGCCGTTGAATCACTTATGACTCATAGCGACCCTATGTACAAGAGCCCTAAATCATGTTCTATCCTGTGCCAATCTCATTGTATCTGACACACCTACTCCCCCAATACCCCAGTCGCTGAATCAATCCATCTCTAGAGGGTCTTCCTCTCTTACGCTGTCCCTCTACTCTTCCAAACATGACATCCTTCTCCAAGGTATAGTCCCTCCTTGCAAAATGCCCAAAGTGTGTCAGACAAAGCTTCAGAATCCTTGCCTCCAAGAAGCAGCCCAGTTTCACCCTCTCCAGGACAAAACTATTTGTTCTCTTAGCAGTCCATGGTATATTCAACACTCTTCTCCAGCACCACAGCTCAAAGGGGGACCATGCTTGGTTTATGCAATGGAATATTCCAGACCTTTAAATATTCACTTTGTACAGTTCTCTGTTAAGACTAACTTACTCTTAATTTTTACTCTAAGTGATGAGGAGGAAACACATAATGACCCTTTTAAGATCTCAGAAATGTCTACAGATATCCAAGTTCTTCACTTATAAATTCTACCTTCCACCAAACTTTAACATAATTATGATTAATTTTTTCCACAGCATAAAACGCATCACCCTTCCTCCATTGTCCAATTGCATGTTTCCTTTTAAAGTTGCACTAGCAGCACCCTTAACACCTTTATTCCCAGCAACATTCTGAAGGGGCACCATATGTGTTCTCTAAGAAGAGACTTTCTCTACAATTCTCCTCACTTCCTTCTGAGCCCTCACCAGAAGTGCTTTGATATTCTAGTTCTACCAGTCATCTCTAAGATTTTGCTACTGTGTTCTGTGCCATCGAGTCAGAACTGACCCATAGCTGACCATCCAGCAGGCTTTCAGAGGCAATAAATCACATGGGTGGAGATTACCCCGCCTTCTCCCATGGAGGAGCTGGTTAATTCGAACCTCACATCCATCTTGGGGTTGCAGTACAGCTTCTTACCATTTACCTCTTAGGTCACCAGAGCTTCTTTTGCATCTTAAGACTCTTCAGCCCTAAACCGTTATCCAATCCCAAAACTACTCCCATATTTTAGAGATCTTTTAGAGTAAGTAGCACCCTACTCTTCTTGTACCAAATTCTGTCTTCATTTTGTATGCTGCTATAAGAGAATTACCACAAATAGGTGCCTTTAAAAACCAGACATTTTCTCGAAATTTAGACTAGAAGTCTGAATGCAGAGTTCTGGCTCCATACTTCATTGGCCCTGGAAGAAGCCTCTTGTCTCCGTTTCATGTGGTTTGTTATCTCTCTTGCTCTATAGATGCCTTGCTCGCTCCTTTAGTCTTTTTTTATATTTCAAAAGAGATTGATTAAAAACACACTCTATACTAACCCTCCCTTATTAACATAAGGCCAGTCCATCCTCAAGTAGGATGATAACCACAGCACTGTTGTTGTGAGTCTTACTCATAGCAATCCTCTCAACAATGGATCTGAACCCTGACCCTTCCTGTGCCATCCTCACCATCCCCAATATACATGAGCCCATAATTTCATTTTCAGTTGTGAAAGTCTTTCTAAAGACTCCAAACTCTGGAAATTCCATTCTCAGAGCAAGCAGAAATCTCCTCCTCATGGAAAGGCCATGGTTGGGAATCTTCCAGATACAGTGTAATGTTACAGAAGCAAAGACCTCTCCTTTGAGTCTTCTTGTTAAGATCCTAGGGAGGAGACGTGTGTTACACTTGCCTGTGATCTACGTGTGTGTCCTGGAAAAGGTGCAGCCAGAGAGTTCCTGGGAGGCAAGGAGGGCAAAGCATCGGTTGCTCATAACTGTTGGACACATTGCCTGGGGGGACTAATTCTTGGAAAAGGATATCATGCTTGGAAGGGTGGAGGGTCAGTGAAAAAAGAGGAAGACACCCCTCCCTCCATCAAGTTGGACTGATACGGTGATGGCAGCAATGAGCTCAAGGGTACCAGAGATGGTAAGGATGGCACGGGACAGGGCAGGGTTCCGCTG